GGAAAGATGGAGGAAACGAGGAATATTGTTCAGATCGATGTAGGAAATTTATGGCGTGGCTTGAAAGGATCTAGATGTAGTGGGAGAATTTTTTCCTCCTAAAAATTCGGAGTCAGTATTTTGTCAGACTTAAGTATTTATAAAATAAAGCCTTTAACCTCGGTTTAATTTTTACTTAGCTGCTTCTGATTCAACGAATACCTTTTTATCCGAATTTTGATGTCGAATCATTGGGTATCATGGCGAAGAAATCAGGCGAATTAGGGTTAAGTTCCAGGAAAAAATTTTTTTACACGAAATTTATGATTTGGAAATAGATTGAAAATTTTATTAAAATTTTTTAAATACCCTGATATATAGGGGTATTGATATTGGTTGAAAAAGAACGAGAATTTAATTTCAAATATGCGAAGAAAACAAGATGATGGTCATCGATCTAAGAATTCTATAAATATCACAAAATGTCGACCTATTTGGGACTTACTGAAAATTAATTTTGACAGTTTGAATATTTTAACTTGCAACTTGACGTTACTTTCCCATTTAAGATTATGACAGTGACAATGGTCCTAAAGATATATCGATTTTGGTTGAAAATGCACGAGAATTTAATTTAAAAAATGTGAAGAAAACAAGATGATAGTCATCGACTTAAAAATTCTACAAATATCACGAAACATCACCTTACTTGAGATCCACTGAAAATTAATTTTGACAACTTGAATATTCTATACATAAAAATAAGAAAGTGGCAATTGAATTCCAAAAATTAATTTTAAAAAATTGACACTGCTTTCTCATCCAAGATTATGACAGCGAGAGTGGTCCTAAAGATGTATCGATTTTGGTAGAAACTGCACGAGAATTTAATTTCAAAAACGTGAAGAAACCAAAATAATGGTCAATGATCTAAGAATTCTACAAATATCACAAATATCGACCTATTTGGGACCTACTGAAAATTAATTTTGATAATTTGAATATTCTACACGTAAAAATGAGAAAGTTGCAATTAAATTTCGAAGATAAATTTTTTAAAATTTACGCTGATTTCTTATCAAAGATTATGACAACGAAAATGATCCCAAAGACGTATCGATTTTGGTAGAAACTGCACGAGAATTTAAATTAAAAAATGTGAAGAAACCAAGATGGTGATCATCGGCCTAAAAATTCTACAAATATCACAAAATATCGACCAATTTGAGATCTACTGAAAATCAATTTTGATAATTTAAATATTCTACACGTAAAAATGAGAAAGTTGCAATTAAATTTCGAAGATAAATTTTTTAAAATTTACGCTGATTTCTTATCAAAGATTATGACAGCGACAATGATCCCAAAGACGTATCGATTTTGGTAGAAACTGCACGAGAATTTAAATTAAAAAATGCGAAGAAACCAAGATGGTGATCATCGATCTAAAAATTCTACAAATATCACAAAATATCGACCAATTTGTGACCTACTAAAAATCAATTTTGATAATTTAAATATTCTACATGTAAAAATGAGAAAGTTGCAATTGAATTTCGACGAAAATTTAAATTAAAAAATGTGAAGAAACCAAGATGGTGATCATCGACCTAAAAATTCTACAAATATCGCAAAATATCGACCAATTTGGGACCTACTGAAAATCAATTTTGATAATTTAAATATTCTACATGTAAAAATGAGAAAGTTGCAATTGAATTTCGAAGAAAAATAAAAAATTTGACAGTGTTTTACTATCTAAGATTATGACAGCAACAATTATCCTGTAATATCAACAAAAATCATTCTCGATCCCTATAAATCAATTTTCCACGGTACTTGGATGAAGTCTTCGAACCCGCTTGCACGAATCAAACAGCCAGATACCTATCCCGGTGAAATAATCGAAAGCGGTTTGTAGAGGTGGAAGATAGGCGACGAGCGGTTCGCGAGCGGTTGATTTATGGTCGCCCTGCTACGATATTCTCGTAAAAGCTCAGGATATCTTCCGCAACGCGGTGCTTTCGTGTGCATAATCTTATCGGGCTCGTTTACGACTGTCGCATAGGCGTAAACACCGGCTAAATAGCTCAACCGTGGACAGTATAAACACCGATAAATTCTCTATCTCCGAGAGCCCTCTTATCGTTCCTGGGTTCTATCAAATTTTGATTCGTACCTGGCAATGTCCCATCTAGGTGTCTCCTTTCTACTTCGACATTATTTGAACACCGTATTTATATTTACCGTGTTTCAACCTATCTCCATTCCCTGTGCTACCTTCCCCAATTTCCACGCGAGACAATTGTCACAATAGCCTATGGGATTATGATCGTCGCCAAACCGATATCTGAAGTGTCTCCGTGGATGTTGCAAATCATCGTCGAAACGCCTGTCATCCTGATTTCAAGAGGATTAATTCCCTTATCGATTATTGCTCTTTGATCGCTCGCGATCCTCGCGTTTTATTTACTGTTTCGTAAAAGCGTTTCGAAAATTCCGTACATCTCGGGTCACGCTTGCGATAAATCGTAACGATAAATCGAAGAATAACGGGAGTGGTCGGGATAAGCCAGTGCCGCGAAGACAGGGGCGTGGATAATCGGGATAGGAGAAGCACGTGCAAGATTAATGATGTCTGTCGAACCGGAATTACGTGTCACGTTTTATTAATCTCGTTACGTATAGTTTGCGTTTCAAAGGCACTAGGTCGTCGGCCAACAAGTACGTCACATTTTAGTTGTCCGTCAATCTTAATTGAATTCACCACCCAGGCGAAAAGCTCTGTGCTTGGCTGGCCGAGTGGACCGCGTCACGGTCCCAGAGGCAGCGACGGCCATTCGAGATGCACGAACTCGCGTAAAGTGTCGTCAACGAGCGGCAATTGGGTCGTGTCGCGACACTTAAACGCTACAAATTGTTCTTCCAAGAACTCGCGGTGAATAACGGGGTAAGGAACCGCGGAGAAGTTTATGGAAAGGAAAAAACACGTTTGCCTGCTGTTCCTTTTCTGCAACCAAATAGGAGACCAAGCATTCATCCAGAGGTTAAACTTTCACGAGTTCAACGAGTTCGGCGCCACGAAAAATTCACGGGTTTCTCTAGCAACCTGAGTCAGAAGCGAAGCTTGCTGACACGACACGAGCGTTAAAATAACCGAGCCACGTGGTCGAACCGCGTCGAGAACGAAGAGGAGCGAGCCACTTCTCATCGGCACTGACCAACAATACCCCGAATAGAGTCGTCGAAGCGGGAGATCCCTTGATCCGTTCAAAGGCAGCCCTTCCGAAGGACAGGCTTCCCGATCGACCATTAATTTCCCAGCAGATAGATATCGAAATAGTGGACAGGCACGATTCTCCAGCTAGGCTATCGGGCCTAGAGCAACCGTCCGATAAACAGAAGCTAACGAGCTGCTACCGCCTCCACGCAGCACTAATCGGAGCTAGTCGAACCAGTTTCAGCAACTCGGAATGGATCATCGAATGTCTACGTACCGACGGGTTTGGGTACGTTCCTCTTCACTTGCATCCACTTGTACGTGGGCACGTGAGGCTGTTGCTGCTGCTGCTGCTGCTGCTGCTGCGGCGGCGGAGCATGGTGTCCGTGAGGGTGCTGCTGGTGATGGTGTCCGTGCTGATGCGGATGCTGAGGGTGTCCCGTCTGTTGGAGCACGTGATAGCACGATGGGTCCGGGTTTTCCTCTTTATAATGACCAGCCGGGTGTCCCGTGTAGTCGTTCTGTCGGATTTGGGAGTGATAGTGGAGCGAGTCCTCCGTGGTTGGCAGCTGGTGGAGATAGTTGGTGGTTCCAGCGACTGGTAGCTGGTAGTCGGGCTCGTGGTGATGGTGGTGATGGTGATGGTGATGACTAGAAGACTGATGATGCAACTGCTGCTCGTGCTCCGTCCTCGAGTGGCCAGCGGTCATCATCGAGCCCTGATGAAGACCGTTCCCCGAGGATGAAGCGGGATGGTGATGGTGATGATGGTCGTCTCTGTAGGCTGCCTGTTGGACGTGGTAACTCTGGTGAGGGTCCACCGATCCGTGCGACCCGTTCGCGTGCTGGTGCTGTTGGCCGGTGTAGGACGACGTGGCCGAGGACGTAGCGTAGTCTAGGTTCGTGTAGCTCAGGCCATTCTCGGAGGAGATGATCGCGGTGGTGGAACCGTCCTCGTGCAGGACGGCTGCCGACGGCGAGTAGAAGCCCTGCGGAGGCGTGCCCGAGGACGCGGCGGACTCTGCCGCTAGGAAGCTCTCCGACGAAGAGGAAGAGTAAGGCGACACCGCGGTCTGAGGGAAGTAGTGGGCCGGAGCGAGTTCCGGCGAGGCCGGGACTGGCACGTGTCCACCGACGGACACGGGCTGATGATGATGATGATTCCCTTGACCCGTGCACACGTAGTTGGGGTATGAGTCAGGCTTGCCGTAAGTTCCGTACATGCCCATGTCCATCATCATCATCCTCGTGGCGGTGAGGCGAATACATCAATTGGCCACCTGCTGCCCGGCTACCAGCGTGTCCTTCGGTGCGCGCACTCTTTGCGGAGGGAACGGGCGGCAGAGAGCAGTTTGGTACTTGGGATTACTCTGGCAATTAGGTTACATCGCGATGGGTGGCTACCACCTTTGGTCCGTACACTGTTTAGACTGTGTCGGTGATGGGTCACGTATAGTGGTCGATGGTGAGCTTTAGTAGCAGCTTTCTTGGGTTACGAGTTACACGGTTATCACAGGTTGTGCACACTTCCCGCTAAAAGTCCAAGGAGAGTATTGCCAATGGCGCTTCACTCGCTTTGAATGGTTAACCACTTCGTAGGCATCCTGATAGATTGTTTTCTCTCAGTTCAACGTTCCAAGCGTAGTTAGAACGTCAATGTCGATTTTATCTAACGGATCACGGCTCACGGGAGTATCCTCTATCAGAGGGAGAACACGCGAGAGATCCCGAGGCAGATCCGCGACATGCCAGTGGACGCGGGAACGCGTCGTTATTCGCGCGAATACCGGAGAAAAAGCGGACGCGTAGTCGTCGATCCGGTCGACGAGGGTCGCTGAAGTGGACTGGCTAGGTGGACTGGTCTGGCGGAAGGCGGCACGGTCGAAGGCAGCACGCAGGTGAGACCGTGAGCCACAGGGGTCTGGTGTGTCCAGTTCTGGCCTCTCTCTCTCGCCACGAATCCGTGCGCTCTCTCTCTTTCTCTTTCAATTCTCCGACAAGCGCGTCGCGGTACATACGCCAGGGTATAGAGAGGGTGCTGCCTTCTCGAAACTGGGCGTGTCCGCGTCGGCGGTCACGTGAGCGCGGCTGGGCGGAGCCAGCCAATCCGGATCGAGCCTGCGCGTCCAGAGTCCGTAGCCTCATGATGGATCACCGAGCTAAATTTTATTTTTCCTACGTTCTTTTTATCTGGCACGCTGCAGTTGACACTTATCGCGGCGGGTAGAGGTAGTCGAGTATTATATCTCGGTGCCCACCTTCCAGGATAGCCTGGGCCTCGCCTCCTAGCCCGTGTTCCCTTCCAAGCGCCGACCCAGCATCGCTCTTTTTTTCCTCCGGGCTCCTTTCCTTCCTCTTTTCTCTTTTCCCTTTTTCCTTTTCTCCCTCGCTGCGACCGGTCGCTCTTCTGTGTACACACGCGTGTCCCACCTGTCCCCGACAGGACACACCGCCGTCTCCTGCACTTTCATTAACGCCTGACGGCTGATGGGTTAATTACGGACCGCTAGATCCACGCCGTGAAAGCTACCCGCATGGGCAACCGTTCTAACGGGGTTCCAGCGGGCTTCTTCCGTTCTGGAAGACATTGGAGACCCTCCGCGTCCAACTCCGCGTTTCCTCGCGTATTAGTCTTGGTCTAGGGGAACTGTGCCACTGCTTTGTCGTCTAGGGGATTCTCGCTCGAGCGTGCACAAAAATGTACCGCGGATGACTGATCGTCGATGAAGCTTCTTTGTATCGTGTAATAACAGCGAACGAAGGTAACGTTCATCTTGGAAGAGATCTTCCTGGTCTAGATGAACCAAGAAAAAGAAAAAGAAACAGATCCGATGGGCCCATGGGATGGTACCGATCTTTTCACGTGTATGGACTTCTATAAATGTGATTATCGATGAAATTTTTCCTCTATTAGTTAGTAATGGTCCACGAAGTAACGTTCGTCTCCGACGAGACGAGATCTGGAGGAATCGAGAGGTGGGGAGGGGGAAAGGAGAGTTCGTTCGAGGGCCGCGCGTGATGGGCCCATGGGACGTCTGGTACCCCATGTGGGTTCAGTGACAGGATGACACATTCCGCCGTGAAAGTTTTAGGAGAGCGGTCCTGTATCAGCGGTTCAAAAGAGCTTATATCGAGGGCGCCACCTGCGGCCACCCGCGACATCCGTTCTGTCCCGTGCATCAGATCAGGAAATCTTCATCTTGATCGAACTTCCCCGACGTCTCATAGTTCTGATTCTCACTGTCGGTCGATCTTTTTCACCTGAACGCCCTTGTACACCGGTCCTCTCGCTCCTTCTGTACGTCGATATTCGTTAACCGGTGTCTCGTCTTTGGGTGATAATATTGCTCGCAAATTGAGCACGATCGGTGTCTTTTCGGGTACCCGTGAGAGGCTTTCTTTTTGCTCGGATGTTTATGACCTCCTTCCTTTCCCGTATCTTTGAAAGTTATCAATGGCAGGCATTTTCGAAATTTTATTTACTTTTACGAGAGTTTAAGTAGGTTGGCTTTAGTCCAGTGAAATTCACTTTGCTCCCTCACTGTCGTGTGAATATTTTTATAGTAAACCTAACATTTTTCTCGTATAAAAATAACACGGATGAACTTTACGCTTTTCCTACTAAAATTATTTATATTTCAAATTAACTCTTTCATTCCAGTAGACATTGTACGACGTCAAGCTACAATATGAATGCCGAACTGTGGCTGTGATACAACGTTTATGGATTTTAAAGCTGTTAGAGCTTAGAAAATTCTTTCTAAATACAATCCAACTGTTCTGACATGTCCTGTCATCTCCTAGGATAAGAGAGCAATTTTTTTCAATACAATCCCTGTATTATTTTGCTCTCTGTCAAAAAGATTGCGAGACTATGTATTTCACGTCTGTGTGCACTCTTGGCCCAAGATTTTTCTGCTTCCAGGATATGCAAATAAAATATTTAGTTACTTCTAAGCTTCTGCATTCATCTTTATCACCTCAGGCAAGCTTACAATACGTGATATTATATTTTGATCAAGTTTTAATTAGATTTAAACAAAAATAAAATATGTCGAATTAATTCAGGACAGGGTGTTGCTACTCCCTTCGTAACTTAGGAGTGAACAGCTTAGTAATAAAATTATTTATATTTATCATGTTAGAATTATTCGCAACGTAATTCTAATTTTCCTCAGGCAAAATAGGAAAGACTTTGTCACGAAATATGTTCAAACATAACGTGGATGCGTGTTTGTGTGTGTCTACGTCTAGAATGAGTCACCGATTGTCTAACGTGTTCTCAGTCATCCTATAGCAGTCCTCGTGTAACAGTCTCATTATAAGAACAATTATAAAGTTTACAAATATAATAGTCAGATTACATTGCTTATCCCTGCATCACTTGGTCCTCACCGCTCCTATCAGGATCAGGGCCGGCGCGTGTTCCCCGGAACCGGGCCCCGCGTTTTGAAAGGCCCCGCGGTCAACGAAAACTCATCAGACATTTTGCAGGACCCCTGTATAGTAGATTGAATATTCGGGTGTGTGTAGAAAACACAATCGCATAATCCATTAATCGATTATGGATTAATTGGATATGGTACAGCTTGCTGTGCACTGACACGAGTGCAAGATTTTCTCTGCCATCTTTGCATTGAAATATTTCGTTGCAGCGTGTTCTAAACGTCAACATCAAAGGCTGATACGACTGCAACATGGGTGCGTAAGATATTAGGCGTTAAAGAAATCACCCACTTGGAAAACACCGATTTTGATTATCTTTTTAGAGAATGATGATACTATACCATTTACTGGTACCACATTGGATTTAACCCTTTGAGCAGTAACGATGCTACAGTCACGTCGTCGTGCTACAAGCCACCTTCAGTAACGAAGTCACTGTTGCGTTTTTATATTTATCTTAAAACAGTGTGAACGTATGTGTTGCGATGTCAGTTCGGCTGTTTCACGGCTACCAGCAATACGTTTCTTGATTAATGTTACGTTTTCGTGAATAATAGCTGTTGCGACGGGAATTGGGGCCTGTTGGATGTTTGGAAAGTTAACTGCTCAAAGGGTTAACCACTTGCGCCGCAGAGAAATTCACGGTTGCGCGTGAAGTCGAGTGCAAATCACTTCGGGGCGCAAATATCACTGGCTTCACTATCACTTTCGATTTTACAGTCTAGAGTCAGTACTGATAACTTTACACGATGAAGTACAAGCAGAAATTGTGCCTCGGTAAAGAATTTCATTAACGTGACACGCACGTCATTTTCCTTTCTGCAACAATCGCCTGACGACGTGTGTACCACGTCGCTGGTGTTCCGGTAACGAAAGCATCTCGACGTGCGTGGCACGTCTTACCACCGCGAGTGATTAAACGTGTATTCTGGCTAAAATTGTGAACCTGGCCCCGCAAAAGGACTCGCCGGCCCTGTTAAAGATCCAACAGACGCAACAGTCAGACCCAGTCAATCCAGAGTTTAATTCTTGATCTGTGCCCGAGCTAAAGTTTCTAATTGCATCATCGTCAGAGTACACGGGTTATCACTCTCGTCTAAGAGAGAACCACTTATCCAAAGCAGAAGTTCAAATCGATCCAGACATTCCACGGATCCTGTCCCTCTCGTCAGCGACGCGCCACGAGATTTCACCCCGAAGAGCAGAGGCGACTGTTGCTCGATGAGGCGTGTGATTCGCCGTTCAAACGGTTCCAGCGACTTTTAATGGAATTTCCCGGGATCAGACGGGTAAATTCGAGTTTAGCCGAGTCTAATGTCGGGATAAATATCAGCGACCAGGTTCCTTCGCCTCCCTCCTCGGCCTGGACACGCGTAAACTTTGCTCCGGCTAATCCTCTTAAACAATTACAAACCAGTCGATCGGTCTGGTACCTATCTCGTCGTGGCGCCACGCTGCGTTTTGACGTGGGATGAGGCACCTGCATTGTCATGCTAAGCTGGAGTCGCCTTTTATCTGCGACCAACAACATACCGTCCTCTTCCACCTCGTCCCGATTCCCATCTCTGTGAAGTTCCTTCGTGGCGAAGTTTCGGCAGACGAGTCAAACTTGCTACTTTCGAGTCTGCATCCCATACTCTGCCAAATTTTTCTTCGCTTCCACGTAGTCGAAATTTGGACGAGAACACAGAGATCTTCCAATTTTTCTTAAATTAGTTCCCGTCGAAAATATCGCTGTAATCACTATAGCCAAGAAATTAGGAATTTTAGGAATTTGGAATGGTGTTGGAGTTCTGTTTATCCAAACATCTTTTGGTTGATCCATTCTGCATAATTTGAGAGTGTAGAATATATTATAGAATAGCTAATTAGGGCACTGAAATAGTTTGATTTGAAGTATTTATTCTCTTTTAAACTCTAGTTTCAAACGTCGACTAGTTCTGCCAAGTCTTAATAATAGTGTCATAGTAATCCTGATTCTTGCGATTCTTCTAGGTTTGGAATCACGTTTGAGTCATGATTCTATCCAATAATTTGATTTGAAGTATTCATCCTCTTTCAAACTCTATTTTCAAACGTCGACTAGTTCTGCCAAGTCTTAATAATAGTGTCATAGTAATCCTGATTCTTGCGATTCTTCTAGG